ATTCCTGGATTTTTGTTGTTGTCACTATCAGGAGCTCACCAGAGACCGGATTGCAGGACCTTCTCAAAGTAATTTCTTCTCATGTTCCCTGTTGCTGATAAATGTCTTTGTGAGTGTTCCGTGAGAGAGCGGTTTTTATGAAAACACAGTGTTTTCCTTGACCTTTCTGCACATGGGTGAAGCAGACCTTTGAGGAAGCTGATAAGAATGGTGATGGCTTATTGAATATTGAAGAGATACACCAATTGATGCATAAACTAAATGTCAATCTGCCTCGAAGAAAAGTCAGACAGATGTTTCAGGTACGGTTTCACAATGGCGTGAAATACACAGAGGTTATTGATGTACTTAGGTCCATTAAAAGGCTGTTTTGTTTTGTTGGAAGCTAATATGACTTGCTCTGGGCTGTTTTATTTTTCTTTGACAAAGAGAGGCATTTTGTTTCATCGAAGAAAAAAAAACTTCATAAACTTAACATGCATCCACAATTTTACTTGCTGTTTTTGTTATTGTTGCTATTTCCAAAGAGTAATTACAAGCAATTTTCCTGACACACAAATAATGGAGTAAACTAGATCAAGTCCTTTAAAAGGACAATAATATCGCATATGCCCACCTCACAGGGCTGTTGTAAGGATCAATATAAAGATAAGTAACATGAAGAAAATAGCATTTGTCTAAGACCTCAGAATCTCTCTATTCTGGAGTAGAGTTGTGGTTACTAGAGAGTGGGTGGGGGAGGGGGATAGGGAGAGGTTGGTTAATGGATACGAAATCACAGCTAGACAGGAAAAATGCGTTCTAGTGGTGCACCGTAGTGCTAGGCATTTGTAAGCAGCAATAATTTATTTTATTTTCTTAATTGGCTAGAAGAGAGCACTCAAATGCTCCGATCACAAGGAAATGATAAATTTTTGTGATGACTAATATGCTAGTTACCCTGATTTGATCATCCCACATTGCATACTTGTATTGAAATATAACTCTGTACTACATAAATATGTACAATCGATACATGTCAATTAAAAATAAATAAATAAAAAGATTAAAAAAAACTTTTTTTTAAAAAAAGAACCTCTCTGTTTTGTTTCTGAGGATTTGAGATTTAGAATTCATGAGGCTGGGCCAGCCCGGTGGTGCACTGGAGAGTGCGCCGCTTGAGAGCGCGGTGGCGCTCCCG